TAAAGTAAAAATAGATGCTTAGCAGAGCATATAACGATAAGTAACAGATACAGATAAAGAGTGAAAGAAAGAGAGCGAGAGAAAGATATCACTATAATTAGAAGATTCAATGACAAAGACCGGGCTCTCATTTAAAAATAAATCTTACCTTCCGTTATAGAAGATACCGATGCGTCGTCAACTAATATAATAATATCATTCAATAAGGGTTCATGACGAATCTTGGATTCATTCTTTGTTTTTATGTTTTTTGTAGAAATACTTACAATAACTAATAAATAATATAAGACATAGACATAAGACTATACATTTAATAAAAGAAAGTAACTATATATATTTGGCATTAATCTGAGTGGCATGTACAACATTTGTCACATTGTTACATTAAAGTTTTTAACTTTACGTTATGTTTACGTTTTTAATACATTATACTAAACATCACATTTCAAAAATAGTTAAAATGGAAATCTAAAAATGTTATTAATATTCAATAAACTAAATATAAATAAAAAATATATCCAGTTACAAAAACGGTTACTATATCTAAAAATTACAAACATGATAAGTAACTATATTACTATAGGTACCTAACAAGTTGTGTATCTCTGAAGTGCTGTCAAATATATCGGAGATTTTCTTTAACAATGTGCGCACATTTGTCCTAGTTCTTTCTTCTTATCATATGGATTTACTTGGATATGGATTTTATTCACCCCGAAGAAGATATTAAAAATAACCTCAGTACAAACTTAACTTCCTCCTGCGCTTAGTTTTAGTTTCCCACTATTCACCGTAGGTAGCTACGATTGTCACAATTTATGAGCAAGACGTGTTTATCAGTGAACTAATTATAATCGGGCTGTTATGAATCGTTCGGATGAATTCATTCAGTCGGACTTTAAATAAAAGAAAAACCGTATCATTGTTTAGAACAAGCAGGAAACATTACAAATAAGTTTACATCGTTTCGAGCGCGTTCAAAAGTAAGCAAGCAAAAAGCGCTGGATATAAAGAGCATGCTTCTCTCCCTCCGAGGTCTGACCACACCCCTGCGTTATAACAAAAATGAAGGAAGCAGGGTGTTCTGTTACCCCATTGTGCGTTGTATGTTATTGTGTATGTATTTTTAGAATGCAGTTCGCAATTTTAAAGAGCCTGTGGTGTTCTTTTTGTGAATAATAAGCAAACGGCACTTCGAAGATAAGTCCACGGATCTTGGACTGCATAATGAGATTTTTAAGACAGAACTAATTTACTAAACCATCTCGTCTCGGTGATTTTCATAACATATGCCTGGAGAAAATTAGTCTTTGAAAAAATAAACAAAAAGGAAGGAAGCAATAAATCAGGATTAATCAGAGAAGAATTTGGATAGAAATCCAAATATTTTTTTACTTAAAAAATAACGTTTGTTATTTTCACATCAAATAAAAAATAATTACTAAAAAAAATCGCAAGTTGGGATCGGACGACGGTTTTGCCAAGCGCGGCTCTCGTTACCTTCAAAACTGGCCATTTAAAAAGTTAACATTTATATTGCGTAATAAAATTAAATAAAAAAGTATACAATAATTACGCACCATGTTCGCGCCGATTTTGACAGGAGTCACGCGGGCTCGGCTATTTAATCTGCGCGCTCGCTGTTCAAGCCGGCGTATAGAGTTTCATGTAATTCCCGTTCATTATACGAAATGCCATACCGTGAAATTAAGATGTTAAAAGAGGAAACGATAAAGCGCGTAGATCGATGCGGAGGTTTTGTTGCGGCACGCGCCGAAAATCTGACACTCAAATTGGCGGCCGAGTTTCGGGAGCCGGTTCTTTGTGTTGTGCTTTTGCTCGTAACGGTAAAAGGGCTTGCACCGAGGCGGTGACATTTTGAAGTTACGCTTTATGTGTTCCTATTACAATTTCACGTTGGAAAGCAATAGGTGAGAGCGGGCCTTAATAAACGCAATGTTTGCGAGTAAAGACCTAAAATACAATTTTTTCATTTAGGCTCAAGGAGTTACTGGCGTCATAATTTATCTTCGCTACTAAAATGACCAACATTGTAAGAAGGAAAGTGGCACAAAACATTGCAGTGAAAATGAATCATAACTTTTAGAAGTAATATTTATGTAGTTTATACCAGGGAAACAAAAATCTGCATGTGCACACACACATTAAAAAAGAAAATTCTTTGTGATAACATTATAGGAACAGTTAAAAATCTTTCATAATTATGACATATATACTTCTAAAGAAAGCATTAATACCGAGACAATTTCTTACTATTCGTTCACAAACTATTTGAGGTACAAAAACAAGTTCAATCTCATACTGGCTTTACCTATAAAACAGTTTTTCAATTACCCGATCATTACAGATTATAGGAGATTACCAAAGCAAAAATTTCCATTTCTCATGCGATTGCCCGCGTGATTTATTAAATACCGTTTCCAACGCATTTAGACAGCCGATAATTTTGAGCGTGTGCCGCTCTTGGGGCGCTGGTGTCCTGCTGGGTCGGTTATTGGTAAATTACTGCAATTTGCAGTGCGCCTCCCTGCAAGCGCATGATTCTGACTAATTAGGCCGGCCCATTATGCGATTACGAACATTTTGAATTTTCTCTTTGTCACCGTTTCGTGATTTTATGTAAAATCAATGCAAGTTATCTATCAGTGCAAGTTATCTATCAGTTTAATTCAGTATGTATTCAGATTTGGAACATTTATCTGATATTTATCTTATGGAGCCTTGCATACTGTACAAGGTAAGGGAAGAAAAAACATATATGAAGGTCTATGAGGACATATGAATGACTTTACTATTATACGGCAGCAACATGAAGTATATAGGCAACAACAAAAAGTAAATTATATAGGCAGACACACCCGGGGTACAACATTACAAGTATTACGGCCTCACAAAAGTCCAAGAGTATTATACTTTTAAGGGTTAGAAACGCCTCTGAAAACCCACTAATATTGTAGATTTTCATGGGCAGTGGTAATAACTGAAAATTAGGTAAAGTGATTGTATTAGGAGGCTGCGAAACACGCGGTGAAAGTAAAGAAGCAACTTCGCTCCCCTGGGCAAAATAATTATGCAGTTGATTTATTCAGTATAATCAATCAGTGATGAAATGCATGCAAATTTTTAATAATTTTAAAATTATTATTCACGATCCAAGTACTTCCTTACCCTTTATTACGGGAATGAGACATTTCTAACGTTAACGCTGAACTCGCATAGGCCTCGTGTATCGATTTTTTGGTAATTACATCCTGGCCAATGAAACTTTAGACGTACTAAACGGAAATCTAGTTTCTTAAAGGTCAGCGCAGCGTCTGCAGCTATGTTGTTATAAATACCCATGGTCGGCAGTGAGACACTTACCATCAAGAGAGCCGCTTTCTCCTATAAAAATATAGACATGAGACATCTTAATCGCTGATAATTTCGTTTCAACTTCGCGCATAACAATCCACGACTCGGTTTACGGTCGGGGAGGACTATTCGGCAACGTTTCGTAAAGCCCCGAGCTCTGGTAACGACGCCGCCATCAATAACTCTTCAGCGGCTGTAGCGACATGTAATTTTAGGGCGCGGGCACCGAGGGGTATAAAATTTATTGTCGCGTAAATAACAAGCGGTCTAACAAAGCCGCGCAAAGCTCGCATCCGACCGGACTGGGCGTTCGAAGTCTCCTCTTGCTAAGTTTTATTGTAGGATTAAAGTGAAGGGGTGATTGATTATTGCTGTAAAGTATCTCCCGTTTAAACAATTCACAGTGTTAACCTTACCAGTATTTGATTAGTGGAGTCTTCTCTAACGTAAATGTCTAAACCAGACCCGATTCCTGTGAGTATTTTTGCTTTTAAAAATTCGTTTCGTTAACCAACTTAAAAGAGGAGGATGTTCTCAATTCGCTTGTATTATGTTTATCCTCCTCCCTTCTTATTACTGTCGATTTTAAGATTATTTTTCTACTATTTTGGTTTACGTACCACGTGGCTTCAAATTAATTTTATATATATTGAAATTCCGAGTTTCCAATGTGGTAGGGCTACGCAACAGTCTTCACTGTTGCCTGAATGTTCAGGTCCGTCCAGGAAAGTAACACGATCTCACAGAAGACCGGCGTGAAGTGAAGGTTGAATACTTCTGCGTTTCGTTTGGTAAGTGAGGTAACCGGAGCCGGTAAATAAAGTATATTTACAGGTGGCAACGTATCTGCAACCCGAGAAGTTTTGCAAATGCTTATGGACGGCGGTTATCACCTAACATCAGGTAGACCGCCAGCTCGCCTGCCGCCTTCTCACGTGAAAAATATTTTAAATCGTGTGCGAAATGTGTAGTGATTGAGATAATTGAAGGATTTGTTTTTTTGTACTAAATATATTTCACTCGTGTTGACCACTATGTGCGCGTCCATAAATTACGTGAGGTGCTTTTTTTAATTTTCTGTATGGTGAGATGTCGTGGGATTTTATTCAACTCTCTCCCCCATCCCCCAATCTCACGTGAGATTATTCAAAATGTGGGTTTCTTACGTAAACGCGTTGGATTGTTATTGTAAAAAGAAAACTTGAGCTATTTGGTATAAAACAAATATGGTGGTTTGACAGTCAGTAATTGTATAACGTCGAAGTATGAATGAAATTATTTTCTTTCGAACGAATTAGTGAATGATCTTAATCGTATTACGCGATTACGCTCAAGATTAAATCTTAAGCATGTACAATCTGGATTAAATGGACCAAAATAGTATAATTTTTTTTTGTTTCAATCTGAAAAAAAATTGATATTTGCCGAGACCCCCACTCTCCAACGTAAGATTAGATGAGATTTGACTCGACCCCCTCCCCCCCTTAAACACATCACGTAATTTATGGACGCCACCTATACCCTCATTAGCGTTATTAAGCAGCCTCACAATGTAAAAAAAATACAGGACCTTAGAAGATGATGCGATTAAAACGACTCGGGTGTCAGCCCGGTGTACGTTTCTAATGCCCTCAGACGTGGCACCGAGCTCGAAAAGGTCGCAATTATCGGTGTCCAGGCGGGCAGGCCGCGAAAGCTCGCTTTGTGCTCGCCGCGAGTCGCCGTCGCGGCTTTTTGCGGTCGAATGGGCCTTCTTGCTGGCATGGTGCCCCGCGAGAGCGATGGCTTTTTGCCCGGCGGAATTCCGGGCCGGTGCACCGCGAAGCGCTTGTTCCGGCGAAACGGTATCGCGCTTCGGCCACCTTTCGGGCCGCGGCTTAGGTAGGGCCGTGGCTTCGGTAGGGCCGCGGGTTCGGTAGGGCCGTTTTAATGTCGCGTAACTTACGGACCGTTACTATTTCAGTCGCGTCGTGGGCTTGCACGCTTTTGTGCGGTTTGCGTGTTCAGGCGCAAGTTTCCGCGAGCCCCACGTTTGATAGTTGGTAGAACTGAGAGCTGGAACATCGTAAACAACGCCAACGTTTCTCGATTCTGACCAAACTAGTGTTTTGCGAATGTACCATTTCCAGTTAGATTTATAGTTTGGGAGGACCTCGATTTAATGCGCAGAGCTGTTGGTGCTGATAAATTGGCAATTAAATAAAACTCATAGTTTACTTTTTTTAAAAGAGATAACAAATGAGAGAGGGCAGGCCTGATTCCGACGAAAATCAGAAGTCCTGACTAAATAAGCACTTGATTAAACGCGATTAAATTCATAAAATGTTTCACAATGTATTCGTATATAATTATTTGGGTAAAAACAAGAAATCGATACTTTTATTACAGGTTTACGTCTCCGTCAGTACAAACATCAGCTGAAACACTCCGCTGTTGTAGCACAATGCTCATTCGTGAGAATACATTTCCATAGATCTACAAGTCGATTTTTATCTTAAAATTATTTACCGTGCCAGGCAGAAGTCGTTGCTGCTGCAGGAATGGGCAGGCTCGATCGGGGAAGACCCCACAGAACTGGCGTGTGGTGGTAGTGGTATACTTCTGCGGTTCGCCCGGGAGTAGGGGACCGGGGTTCATTTTATGAAAAGGTGGCAACGCATTTGCAACCGTACGGGTGTTGAAAATGTCCATGTGTGGCAGTTATCACTTAACATCAGGTGAACGGCTAGCTTGCTTTTCATCTTCTAACATAAAAAAGACTATAACTTTTAACTTTTAACTAAAAATAAAATCTTATATAGATTACCTAAAGCGCCATCATTTTAAGGGGTGTAAATATAGCATGCGCGTCTAAATGCCCGTTTTGATTTTGACTTGAGTGATTTTTTTTAATATCATTTTAATCTCTTAAATACACATTGCAGCTTTTATAGTGATTGCCCCTTGTATTAAGGAGTTTGTATTTATAGACGTTTGCCCCTTCACCCACATATTAATTGAACTGTTTTTGTTTAAAATTATTGAGACTGTAAATAAAAGTGGATGTCAAAAACTCTTAGGATGCCTCAAATGACTTTATTAAGCACGTGTCTAGACCGCAATGTTATTACAGTAATTATAGACTAATAGCGTTACCTTTAGTTAAAAGAAATTCATTAGAACGGAACCATTTTTTCCCGCCACCGGTTCATAAAACAGATGTCTATGGCGAAATGGTTTTTTTTTTCAATTCTTTTGTAGCCATAGGCATGCTTTATGCGGCCCTTATAAAAGACTGTTTTATTATTTTTTAAAAGGGTTCCATGGGCGTATACTTCCGTCCTTGCGTTATTCACTAATGCTTCGGGGGTTCCACTCTCTTTTTAGTTTTTTATTTCCATTAAAATGTGACACTTTCTGAGCAGTGGGCGTCGCAGTCTCGCGCATATGGCAAGATTAAAAAAACTGATGTAATTGAAAACCAATATTCGGTGTCTTATACATTGGCAAGCAAAAAGCTCATTTAATGCTGTTTTGTGTATTCCGTTGATGCTAAGTTGGCAATATTTGAATTTTGTATTTCAAATATTCTAAATAAGATGCTTTTCGATGCTTTGTACACTACTATAAAAGATTTCGAATTGTTTTGGAGGACGTTGAAGGAAAAGTTCACGTTAATAAATAAAACGTATTGGTTTTCACAAAATATTATATAAAACCAAATCATCTTTATGTGCAGATATATGGTAAATGAAGTTCTAATATAATAATGTAATATTTCAAAATGTTATAATTTTTTTTCATGTGAAAAGTTGCCAATCGAGCAGTCGGTTCACCTTATGTTAAGTCAATACCGCCGCCCATGGACATCTGCTACACCCGAGGTTCCAGATGTGTTGACAGCCCTTTGAAAATTGGGCTCCAGCCACCTCACGAAACGCGAAAGTATTATACTTCCACTTTACGTCGGTCTTCTGTGATTTCGTGGTACTTACCCGGACGAACCTACCCATTCGTGCAACAGCCGAGGCTGCTGCGTGGCCCTACCACCGTGAAAGTAAATAATCTCAATTCAAAATTCCTTTAAGTAGAATAATATAAAACAAAATGATCAAAAGTTACCCATAAACATTACATAAAATTGATTACATTTTTAAAAATATTATTTATTAAAACCACAAAATATTAATAGTAAGGTATAATGTCGTAAATGAATAAGAACGTAAATAATTATAAACGGAAGCCATTTTAAAGACACATTTCAAAAATATTTAATTACTATTTTTAATAATTAAGAATATGTTGCAGTGTATAAAAAAATTATTGTATATGCCAACGTCTTTCATAACTTGAGATTTAAAATTTGATTCTCGAAGTTCCCTCGATATCATTTTACAAAATTACAGTATTAAGATTAAAAAACCAAAAATATTACTATTCGAATAGTAAGATTTTATATAGCATATCGAAAATTTGCCTCGATGTTTTAAATGTGCTTAACTAGTAGAGCCTTTACCAGCATCGACTACTCACCATTATAACCATATCAGGTAGGATTATAATTAAATTCCATCTAGCTAGTAAGTTAGTATTATCACTACAATTAATCCGAGGTCATTTTAATTCTGCGGTGGATTTATGGTGCCTAAGTTGGAAAATTCAATCGACTTATTTCTGGTCTGGTTTTTAACGAGAAAAGACGAAATATTTTTTATTTAAAATAACGACAAAGTGTGTTTAAGTATTTTACTACAACAAGGAACACTAATAAGGTTATAATTAGTGTCTGAAAATTAAATATTATTCTAAAGTATTAACTGGAGCTTAAATGATAATTAATTAACGTATGTGAAAAATTTTCTGTGATCTGAAAATACAGTCTCTAAGGAAGCGAGAAATGGTTTCCTCTTTATGACGTAGAGATTAGTTGATGGGACTTTGAGACTCAAATTACGGTTCCATATCAATTCTTTTCAATTCCCAAGGTTTAATATCATTCTGGAAGGTAAAATCTTAGAATGCTTGAAAAATAAAAACTTTTTCATTGAAATATTTAGCCGTGATAGCTCAGTGTCCGGGCCCTCGCCTTTATTTCAATTTACTCGAGCAACCTGAGTTCGATCCCCGGTGCCAGCACCAATGAAATTGTTAATGTTAAGTGCTGACTGACATTGAAAAAAATCTTGTAAGAGAAAAAGATGAAAATTGAATGGGAGAAGATATTTAAATAAAAATAGACGCAGACAAAAGGCGGAGTGGGTCTTTAAAAGGTTCGAAACAACTAATACAATGCATTGTACGTTAAAATTCAATGCACCTACATTTTTAATACAACTGACGTTTTAAATTCTTTGCTTTTTGCCACTAAAAACCTAAAACATGTGTAACATGTAAAAAAATCGTGTTGCAGTGCTCCGGGCGGGCTTAATTTCGTCGTCAATATGTCGATGTTTTTGCTCCAACTGTAACAAATGTATTGCCGAACAACCTTTGTCGAACGAGCGTAACCAAACGAGTTGTCAACAATTGAGTTAGTGTTGCGTTTGTTTTGTGCGACCACAGTGGCAACGGACCTCCGATGAACAACTATTCATCTAGATTGTGTATACAATAAAGGCGTATGAGAGGAAACGTTAGATGAACTGATAAAGATTTTTTGGAAAGTAAGGGAAATGGTTTTAAAAACAATTTCGTTACACGTATTAAATCTATGAAAAAATACGTAATCAGAACAAAACACTTACGCTACTTAACGCCTGGTTTCTGAAACACTGATCATCGTAGAAATTAACTAATAACTCAAATGACATTTGAGATACTATTTGACAGCTGATTGATTTTGATGTTGAAATAAAACTTATAATCGTTCCGTCTCATGTAGTAAGCCTTGATCAGTTTTTCATCAAAAAATCATTTCACTTCAGTATGGTTTGATGTAGTTTACATACAGTTTTATATACATTTTCGCAATGAAAAAACGATTTTTTTCTGTTCGCGATTTTTCAACGATAGCTCGCAACATCACTATTGTATAGTACGAGTACATAGACGGCGCTATTCAAAAACTTTACACTTTAAGTGCACGAACCGGGAGCGCTTCGTGATACACGCATATGGAGGCGGCAGCAAAAACGCAAAAATCCCTTTGCCAACGCCGCGGCGTAAAAACGACGCAACTATGGGGCCATCTGCAGGGACGTTTCAATAAAGGCACATATAATTGGCTGCCGATCGCCATTTTAATTGCGGCCGCGGCGTTTTTCGCGGGGGCATGTTGCCCGCCCGACTGGACCGGCCGATTCGGGTTAGCCCTCCGTTAATTTGATTGATTATCAATTAGACTCGCTTACGGCGGTCCCGTCGGCGACGCGCCTTGACCCGCTCCCGCTTAAATCTTATTCAAATTCGTTCGGCACGCCACGCACAAAGCGGCGGCGCGAGTGACATCCCTATATTGTAGGCTTAATGAATGACGGGCATGATACTCCCGCTGGCAAATTGATCTTAATGTATTTAATTAAAATGCCCGCGAAAAACCGAATGACAGTACTAATTTCACGCATGTTTTCCCCCTGGTATGTCCGTTTATTGTTTTCCGATTCTTTGTCTTTTAATTTATGTATTTTAATGGAAGATTTTGTAAAAAATTAGATTGATGAACATTACGAACTTGAGCTTGGTGCCTTACCGACAAGATTCTACTTTTTCGTGTTTTATACATCTGCAAATATATGACCCGTTTTTTTGAAATTATCACAATGGCATATAACTCTCCTTGGGAACTAAAACCCAGATCTGGTTATCAGTGGTCACAAATTTTTTCCCATTGTGGAAATCGACCCCTGGCGGCCAATGCCGAAGTTAAAAGCTGCGCCACCGAGTCATTTATTATCTGTGTACATTATGATTTATTAAATGAATAGTGCAGTAGGTTCCTTTTTGCTTTCAGCACTGCACAGGAGCCCTACCAGAATTATGTTTCGGTCTTCTGCCAATACTGACGCTGCTGCTGCCCAGTATCAGGTGAATGCTTATTTGTGTGGTGGCAATGGCTCGGCACAGGCCCGTTTTCGGGCTTGTAGGTTTATGTAGGTAAGCCCGTCCCACTAGGCTTTCCCCTACGCCCTGATATTCTTGTCGAGTCGTATATATACGATAATATATTATCACCATTAAACGATGTCTATTACTTTACATACAAAAATTAGGCTTAATATAAGAAAAAAGAACATTCCCCCCGAAATTAGACTTTTGTATATTAAAAATGTTTTATTAATTAGTGCGGTTAAAGAGAGTTAGTTTGATCTATAATATAATTAGAATTTCCTGTACACAACAATCGATTAATAATATATTCCATAACTTTGATGGCAAATAAATGATTGATTGATTAATACTTTGTATGTTTTTTTGTTTATTGTATGTTTCAACCTGAGTTTAATGAAAAATAGCCTATCCGTAGTGGGGTCGCGTGGTGAACTATGTCCTAATACTCTCTGTACAAAGGAGGCCTTGGAGCGGTGGGACTTGTATAGGATGATGCTTTACTTTTGATTTGTGTATTAAAAATGTGTGTGTAATGTATTGATAGAGAGTTCCTTCGACGAATAACAAACCAACTTTGAAGCGTGAAGGTCAGCACTGAAAATCAGCGCTGTTGGAGCCTTATCTTCAGGCACAACATAATGCTGAGTTGCTGACCTAATTTACCGGAATAGGGCAATATTTTATGTTTGTTTAAGTTACTTTTCATTTTTTTTTAATTTAAATTATGTATTTATTTGTTTTGTTTTACTGTAGTAATTATACTTAAGTATTTTATTCATTTCTTTTTTTTTGGTAATTTAGTGTTTTTTTTTCTCATTTGTTGAGTGCGTCCTTTTTTTTTGGTAAATGATGTTTCTTTCTTTGTACGATTCATTTTAAATGTATTCTTTACTTTAGTTTACGTTAATAATATTTGTTTTGTTCTCTCTCATGATTGACTGATAGATAATGCAAATTATGATATTGAATCTATATAACGCAGTCCGCACGATAATGTGCAAAAAATACAGCGCAATAATAATTAATAATATATCGTTTTACATTGAGAAAAATATGAATTATTTATGGGCTCTGCTTCGCTTTGTCTATGAAGTGGTTAGTAATAATATGTTAAAATTTTCATCAGCCTTTAATTAAAAATGTATGTGAGCAGAAATCATGGCTCAATGAATCCTCTTCTTATCGATTATTAAAATGTAAAATGTTTTAATTAACATGCAGACCAACCGACCGGAAACGCAACAAAACTTTCCATTGAATAAAAACAAAAGCTGTGTAGTATTTTGTTCTACTACATTTTTACTACACCGATGAATCCGTGGCGCAGTTGCCAAGGTACTGGCTTCCGCGTCGGGTGTCGTGGGTTCAATTCCCACAGATAGTTTTTTCGCATCTGGTTGTTTGTCTACGTGAAATTTATGTATATAAAACGTCCTTACAACTCAGGATAATCTTATCCTAAAGTAAAGGCAAAGAAAAAAAAATAACTTTTGATATTGTGTTGAGCTTATGACGTGCAAGTTTATTTGAAAGCTGCGTACTTTTATTTAGTAACCCTTAGTAACAAATTACTCTTAAATCATCTCTTAATTATTTTTTGACGCTTGTTGAACAGTTAAAGTTAAAAAACGTTTATTATATAAATAAACGTATTTTAACTTTAACTGTTCATAAATAAAATGAAACCTCGTCAATTTTTTCTTCAAATGATTTTCAATGTATGATAATTAATTGTCAAGAACAATGTTCAAAAGTCATGTTATTTCAAAACATATGAAAATATATCTCAGGAAACTTTTCAAAATCATAATTGTATAATAATAATTTATTAGTTATCTAATAATTTCCCGAGTTGTGGTACAGTTAAACGCTATAGACTATAGGTGCTAGTAATTTCTTCGACTTTTGCAGCTGATTTTGATGTTGATGGTTAAACCATAAATAAATGTAACAGTATCAGAAATAGTAGGGTCTTTTTTTATATGGCCGGATACTATATAAACTGATAAATATAACAACATTTCTGCTTTATTAGAGAATTTATTTAAAATACAATACAGCTAGACTGCGCAATCTATGCATTGCAAACAGTGCCGTCTGCGAGACGGCGTATAGAAAGAAAGCAGAAGGAAAAAGAAGAATAAATTCTTAAGGCTTAAGAATGAAAAGGAATAGGAATGATATTCCATTTTTCCAAAAGTTTTGGAAAATTTACCACAATGTATGGTCAGTAAACAAGCCGAGATGTTCGACGTCCTAATTTTGTAGCCCGGACTAACGTCTGCAACTAAAACAGAAATTAAGAGCAATGGCAACATCTCTTGTTACAAATATTCACCATTGAATGTTATTAATTGTAAGTTTTCGTAGTGAAGATGGCGCCAAGTATTGCTAAAAATGCGATAGGACGGATGTAGACAGAAGTCAAGATGTTCGCGCCATAGGGTCATCGGCCGCTTAGCTTAGAAGGTTCGAATCCCGTAGCGCCGAAAGTTTTTGTTCATTTACTGATATTGGTGATTTACTAGGCTTCTTTTAACATCCTAAGGGAGCATTCATAATTTAATAGTGTAGTTAAAAGGGTATGATGTTGGTGAATATTTAGTTTTTGCTTAATAGCATAATTTATTAAGTTTCTTAGCCATCCTTCTGAAAATAAACTTAAATTATTTTAAAGGTAGATTCATTTATTGTCGCGGTTGTAACGACACGCTGTATATTTATTTTTTATCTGCTTATTTGTTGCTAAATTGTTTTACTTGAATAGTTTCTTTTTTATCCAGCTAGGTATTTCATGGTTTGAAAGATAGGTACATTCTGCTTAATTTCTTAATTTCGTTTCAACATTCAATATCTACGTAATTGTTAGCTCAATCGAATAAGGTTTTTAGTTTGTCTATTGATCATGAAAGGAAAAACACATGGAAAGTTTTAATTTTTTTATTTGACAAAAGGAATTAATTCATTTTTTCTTATTTCCACTTTCCTTATTATACAATGTAGTTACAAAGTAATTATACTATCTATCTATATTTATATGTTTACTATATATTCTCTATATAATACAAAAAATATTTACAAAATTGTAATTCATCCCGTAAAGACCCATTCTAGAATAAAATACCACAATCAATTTCCGATATCATGAACAGAACTTTTTAGTTGAACGTTAGAGACAAACTGACCAGCAGTTAGGTTTCAAAATATACATATACAGAGTAGTAAATTACTTGTTTTTACAAAAATTTCAAAAACAATCAGTGATATTACTATAATTCTTTATAAAATCAGTAGGTTCTCTGAATTATCGGAACGGTTCGAGGAACGAATACTAACTCAACAAAATATTGTGTCTATAAAATACTATTCATGAATAAATTGATCATGGTTTAATGTATATAGAAAAGATAGGTAATAATCAAATTGCAGTAGAGTAAACGATACAATAAAATTACAGCTTAAATACATTTGAATACAGAACACATTTGCTTGCAAAAAAAAATAATAAATACAATTAAATTGCCTTAGTAAAAAAAATAAACTTAAAATTATTTATCACAACAGCATGGTTTGTGTTCCCTTTATTTTGAATGGATCAATAAAAAATAAATAAAATATTCATTTAAAGCTTGCACATTTCATATGTTTATTACAAAACATTTCAAAATTATTTTATTCTAGTGCATTATAAATATGACGATTATTTCAGCAACCTACAAATTTGTCTCTATATGGGCAAACGGTTATGGTTTTACTTTTTTCTTGTCATTCTTATAGTAGTACGTACAAAATTTATGGTAATAGTTTGATTCACATTTTTTTTAAATGATGGAGTTACTCTTTCGAAAAAGCCAATCGACATCTCAGTGGTAGAAAAAAAAATTTAATATTAGATTATTATGTAAATTTTCAAGAAATGAATTATAAAACATCTTTTTAAAAAAAGAAAAATATTATTATTATTACATCAAATCAATCGCATATGTTGCCTGATTTTTCAACTAAAGTTAGTAAAAAGATAAAAATATATTTATTTTAATTCTCTTCATGAAAATCTGATACCAATGTAACACGATAGTCCAAAGGTTTGCATGGCTTGGTTGAACGCTAAATGAGCGATAGCTATATATAGGAGGAAATTTTCGCAAATATAAAATAGAAATAATTACATTTCGATTTAGGTAGATAACATAATAACAAAGCGAATCATACAAAACTGCAGTGTCGTCATATATCATCGGATAGGATAAGATTTATATCGCAACAAGTAGCATTGCATTATATTATAATGGCATGCATAAATTGGAGAGTGATAAAAGAAACTCGGCCACTGACAATAGTGAATTAAAGTATTCAATGAATTAGTAGACATTTTTTGTTCAAGTTTGTTCAAATAAGCATTAGCGCTCAGTTAAAATTCTCCGTATGTACGTACATAATTAATTTATATTAGTTTATAACATCATGTACAGTAACCACTTTTAACAAATACGCCCTAATATTTAATTATTAAAATGTACAATGATTTTTAATTCTATTAAATAAATTCCTTAATTTTAACGTTGGTTGTGCCGGTTTGTCGTTCGGTTGTCTGTCACAACGATATTAAAAAAATACAAATGGCGCGAAATGCATTCTTTCTTTGCCGCCATATTGAATGTGATCTATACTTGCATTAATATTTTTATTATTCTCTGTGTTTTTCCGAAGGCTGTTACACTGCGGGCCAAACCCTGTTGACAAACAATTTTTTTCATTAATAAATTATTTTAGAAAGCCAAGAAAGGGCGCAATTGGCACGTACTAAGATTCAAAATTTCGCCTTAGACAATTAATTTTTAGAGGCGTTTTTTCAAGTGTACATACGGTGAATTGACAACCTAAATCGACAATCGCGTCCTTTCTTTCTATTATGTTCAATATTTATAAAATCTGTTCATCGAATCTCACGAGCAATCAATAGCTGACGATACATTCAATATGTCTGTCTCATTTATGCATGCCATTATAACCTATAGCGATTTGCCGAAAGTTACACAACAAAGTTTAACAAGAATTAACTAAAAGTTGGAATTTCTCAGCTATCATAGTTGTTCTGTTCGTGTGGTCCCAAATACTGTGGTCTTAGCCCCATGCGATGGAATAGGGCCAGTCCATTTTCACTGCAAGCAATCGAATAGACAAATGAGATACGGCTAGAAAATAACAGGAATGAATTGATTTGGCGAAATTTACTAAATAGCTTGATGAGAATGTTGATAGTCTAATAGTGATTTGGATGTTGGCAACCCTGTTGGTCTCTTGCGAAAGCTGCTTGTCTTTTCCTCCTTCACTAACTTATGGACTAAACTGGCTGCACTGAAAACCAGCAATCGCGAAATTTTTTCACAATGTAATGCTGAGTGGGTCCCGATGGTGCATCGACTGATAATTTTTCATTGTTATTTTGGTTATTTTAAGTTTTTTTTTGTACCAAATAAACATTTCTTTCTTCTTTCTAAACGATTAAATAGTGTCTTTGAAATACGACGATAATATGACAAGTGATTTCAAATCGGCGACCGATTAGCTGGGGGATGTGGATGTACCATGGAAAGGAAACAAATAAAAAGGAAAAACTAGGTAAAAACTTTGGCAGTTGTGACCATCTGGTTTACTGTTGTTTTTGTTTGCTTATGGCTGCACAGATCGCTTGATAGTTTGTTGGTCTCCTCGCCAATTCCACTGCAGTGGATTCGATCGCTGCAAATGTCACATTACGACGTATTTTGCATCTTGATTTTATTTATGAAACCGCCCGTGCCACATCACTACATAGTATAAAACAAAGTTCTGCGCTGTCTGTCTGTCCATATTTATGCTTAGATCTTTAAAACTATGCAACAGATCTTGATGCGGTTTTTTAAATAGATAGAGTGATTCAACAGGAAAGTTTTTATGTATAATACATTGCACCCGTGCGAAGCCGGGGCGGGTCGCTAGTTACATATAAGATAAAACGGCAGTTTCGAAGCTGGGTTATGTATGGGCGATACTCACGTCAGGAGCCCGGGGTTCGCTTCCGCCTGGTACCAGGAGTACTGCGGCACGTAGGGCGGGTGCGGCTGCGGCGCCCCCTGGTGGTGGAGGGCGTGGGCGGCGTGCGCGCCCTTCATATCCCAAGGGCCGGGCGGCGCGCCCTGCGACAATCACAACCCAATTAATATCTCCACGACTGTACAATGAAACATTAAGAATTAGTTATATAATCAAAGTCAAAGTCAAAGCCAAAATAATCATAAAGGCGCGTTTGGTACCTAATAGGCATTACATTTTTTTTTATTTAGGTCCTTTTCAAAAATCTTACACAAATGGTAGTGATGTAATTGGGCTAATGACGTAAGTTTGACCTTTTCCGCTGAGACATTACGTCATCATAATTACATTGCGCTTATAAAAGTGCCTACCTACGGACCACCGTCATAACCAAATTATTTTTAGGTTATTGTAGGTTTTTAAAGGTTAAATCAGTAAAATATATTTAGAGCCGTTGTAACACTGTGTCTGTGTGATAGTATATTTATAATATATTTTATAGTACTTTTTCGACCTGAATTCAAATCCCTTATTGCCAACAATTATAATAACAAGGGACAGTTCATTGAAATTTAATGACAGGTTTAAGATGTCGCGAGGAAGCTTGGACGTGTGAAAAATACCGTTTTCTGTTGCAAATTGGCGGGAATTTATGCAAGTTTCCGCCATTACGCGGTGGGGCCGCGTATTTTCTACAGACGCACCTTTCCGCGATGAGATGTAAAGGATGCTACTAAACCCGAAATCAAATTAACAGGAAACATTCACAGTTAAGCAGTAAAAGACGAAAAAAGAGTCATCTGGATGGAGTTGATAGAACTGCGTGAGTTTTTAGACAATTCCCACTAATAAAGTATACAATGACCTTTCGAAATGCTCCGATAGAAACCGAAGTTTATGAACGGTATACCGCTAGCCCGGTATAAATGGCTCGCATGCAACTAATCTAGTAAAATGCTAGGCGCGGCCAGTCACGCCTTTCTTGCTACGCTAACAACGAGAGGCTCCGTCGTTATCATTTGACACGCAACAGGTTGACTTTTCGTTCTATAACTGTTAACGTTAATGCTACTTTTTTGTTTTATTTTTACTCTGTATATAATGCTCCGCTTGAGTTGTAACTTTCATACCTATCTATGGTTCTGCCAGGATGACTTGTTGTCTGTCATAATTTAGCTAACATTTCGTTTGGAATTTAGTGAAACATGTAGTCGCTATACAAAGAATATTATGAGATTTTATGTTATATGAAATGTCCTATAATTTTAAATAAGCCATTTCTTTAATTTGATGACGTGGGTTCGATTCCCACACGGGACAACTATTTGTGTGACCCACAGGTAGTTGTTTCGCATCTGGGTGTTTGTCCTCGTGATATTTATGTTTGTAAAAACGCCCCTACAACACAGGATAATGTTATCCTAAAGTAAGGGCAATGTTTAAAAAAAAAGAAAAAAAAAAGAAAAAAGAATTTGGCGATTATAAACAGTCTTATACGACCGTATAACTTTTGAAAATCGAAACTATGTATAATATAAATATTTCAGGGTACATTTTTACACTTATGTGATCTCAAACTAAAGTAGTACAGTACAAAGGTAAAATTACTTTTGCTATTTAAATGTATACATACGTTCATTACACAATCGCCAATCTAGTCGTCATTTTCGTCGTGAAAACTTAAATTTAAAGCCGATCCTACGCTTTCAAGTAAACCGCTTAACCGCTATATCTTCCCTCTCCTTACGCAAGCCGATAAATAAAACCGAAACGGACAATGAAAAACTGGCGTTGGACGTATTGTAACTAATTTCGCAATTCCGCCGTTGCGGATTAATCGCTTTGAACAACGTTTAAACAACGATGAAAACGTATTGATTACGAATTCCAATGGTTCCGTCGGACGTTGCCACACTAAGCGTTTTTTTTTTTTTTTGCGTTAGTTTGAAATGATTTGTAGCAGGAACTCGCCGGAGGATGCGTGGTGCGTCCGATGAGGCAGCAAGTGACGTCATAGTGCGTTAGATTGAGTGAATTGTCTTACGAGTATTTTCTACGAGGATACAAGACTGATTTTAAGTCGAGGAATATTGATATGGCCATAACATGAATTAAATTTTTATTTGTAATATGATTTATACATTGTAAATTAATCGTTAACAAAAAAGATTTTATGTATTGTTTTAAATGTAGATTATTATTTTCACGTGTATTGTAATAATAATTATAAAGTTTTAAATCCGGTAATTTCAGTTTTTTGTGCTCGTCTTGAATGATTGGTATCAGGAACTCGCCGGATGATGCATGGTGCAACATAGGCACCGACTCACGTCATAGTGAGTTAGAGGAATATGTGTGCGAACCAACGATTAGTTATGTCTCTTATAAGAAAATTTCACTTTGTTTCACTTTCAACGTACCTATTATGAGGAAAGAAATCGAGACCACAATTTGATTAGAGATTCTGAACAAATTTGAGGTCTATCATTCCAATTTTTAATCTTTAGCGCAATAGGCCCTTTTAAATGGTTGTCACATATGACGTTGAAGCCCGTTTTCTGAAACGCTGATCATTCTGATCATTAAGAGGATCATTCTGATCAATTCAGAGAGTTTAACCATCCTATTGGAAACTTAAATGACATTTGAAAAGCAATTAATTGACAACTGATTAGTCAACATCAGTGTTTCAGAAACCGTGAAACTAATAATTAAAAGAGAGTACCGTTAAAAAAAAACTTACATATCCGACCCTCGGGTCCCATGACTGCTGATGCGGTGGCTTCACATCGCAAGACGTCTCCGGCGATCTACCCGCAGTCGGCTACGAAGAATGAGCATTTGTTAGTGGAATATAAATTTCCAATGGTTTTCGTTCATCGAGTTTACGAAAAATTTATAAAATTGATCTCTGAAAATCATTATATGGCTCGGTGGCGCCGTTGCCAAGCTATTTGCTTGGCGTCGGGAGTCGTAGGTTCGATTCCCACACGAGACAACAATTTTTGTGACCCGAGTATAATACACAAGTATATTGTTTCGTATCTGGTTTCTGGATCTTGTATCTTGTATTAACTGATGTTTTTGCTTTCAGTCCCGAGACTATTAAAGCTTCATCGGACGCAGAGCCGGTGGGCTAGCCAGAACCCACGGGTTTGGACCCTCCGCTATGGGTAGGGCCGCGCATGTGCTCATGCGTCCTAAGGAGGTTTGACGTCGGGCAAGCGGTCGGCCGTAAAAAATATAGCCAAAACAGCTTACAACACGGTTATGACCCCTCCCAGGTGGGATAATGGCAAGAGGAAGATAATGATTTACTAAAGTTATTATCTTAAGTCTGTCGTTTGTACCTCAGCTTCATTAGCTCCGTGAAATGGAGATTGAACTGGCTATCCCAAAAGACCCGTTCAACGAGGAATCAGAAATTAACATGACGGTTGTTAACACTACGTAGATACGAGTATACGATAAAACTGTTGGTAATTCATTGTGATTCTATTGCCTTGAACCAAGCTGAATAGTTCTTGACGTTTCGAATGCTGTGCAGTATCCATGACCTCAAGTTTGACGTCTTGTTGTAGAATGTATTGTTGTTAACTAGGGCTATTGTTGGCTTCTACATTGTTGGTTCTAGATAATCTATACGTAAAGTCCTTATAGCGTCTTTAGGCGAGCAAATGGACTGCTTCAGTCTAGATTTACTTGTCAATGACGTCCCTCTAGTTTTCTTATGTTTTGTCACAGGATAAAGCATACGATAGATTTACTTTACAGCTTTTGGTTAGGTTTGATTGACAAGAATTGAATGTCAAATTAATTAATGCCGATGGATGCAGGTGTCTTAGGATCGTACTTCGTAGTCTATGGGGGAGGCCTATGTTCAATAATGGAGTCAAACAGGCTGAAATGACGATGATGATGATGAATTTTAGTAATCTATGTTTATGTATATAGAAGATTTTTCTTACATATCCAACCTTCACGTCCCAGGAGGGTTGCGGCGGTTGTTTTACGTCCCACGGCGTCCCCGTCGGGGAGAGCCCGGGGGAGAGTTCTGAGACCGGCGTAGAGCTAGGGGTGGGTGAGTGGCCCTGCGTCGGCCCCCCGCTCTGGTATGCCGATGGCGAATGCTGGGAGCCGCTTGAGCTGCCACCGCCTCCTAAATAAAAAAAATATAATTAACAGGAAACAGATCGTCAAGTTCAATGCCATATTAAAAAAAAGATCTCCTTAGTGATCGACTGTAATTTCACCAGGTAAGTGGAGATGAAGCTGTAGATATTAAACGCAATATCGCAATAGATGTCTGTTTGGACTTGAAGACTCCCAAGTTACATTCGGATGAAAAGACAGATGCTGGCAAATCGTTCATTCCTTTGCAGTTCATTATACAACATTTAAAATTAGTTTAAGATGTCTGAGGACTTCCTAATAACATCTAAGAAAGGAGGAAAAATCGCGTATTTGCTATCTAAATGCAACTGAACATCGTACTGGTAATTTTAGTTTCAACAAAATAATGTATCTCCATTTATTATTTTAGCAATTAATTCATAAGTCATATCTGTACTAACCATGGTACCAGAGTGATTAATTGTTTGCTCTGCACATAACATTGGCGCTAACAATCGGTATATAGGCATTCTTTAATTATGTTGCTCAACCCAAGTTTTTGAGTATACCTTAGAGAAAAGATAGAAATAGAAATACGTCAATATCGATTTGAAAAAGATTCACATCTTACCGTGCAGCAATTGGTTGTTGTTCGGCGGGCTGCCAGGCGGCAGACCGAGGCTTGGCGGGGGCGCCCCCACTTGAGCCGCCTTCATCATTTTCTTGTATTTGCTGCGACGGTTCTGGAACCATATCTTCACCTGCGGACAATTCGTACTTATTAGTGATAGTCTTACTAAATGTTACCTGATTCCTACCTGGATTCCCGTTTGTCTTGGTAATGGACATCTACTTAATAAATGGTAACATCAGGTCAGAAATTCTGACAAACGAAGCAAAGGTAAAAGGTGGATGCAACATCATTTATCTTGCACAGTAAGGCATAACGAAAGGGTAGAAAATTAAAACGTTGAAGAGAACAAGAATTTTAATCGAGCACATTGCAGTTTAATTTTAATGCTTAGAATTGAACCGAAGCAAGAACTTCAAAATTATTCTTTACCTTTTTATCACCCTTAGCCCATTAGTCTAGTTACACTCCACTGTCGACAATTGTTACCAATGGAATAGTGTAGGTGCACTTTAACTGAATTAAATGCTGGATAAAAAATATTCATTAAACTAAATAGTATAGATACACACATGTATAAATATTTTGCAAAAATGTTTTAGCAGCCATTCTTTGCTATGACTGATGCACAATTATCCCTAATGACATGAAAACCATTGTCTATGAATGAAGGCGTTTATAATTGTTTAATCATTTTTTATTTTATAGTTACAATTAATTGTCTAGAAACAAGTTCAGCGAACAATTGGATTAGAAAAAGTCTTCATTAGCTTATATGATGCATCCGGCTGCGCTGGGCATACCATTTGCTATTACAAGTAAACATTTTATAGATATTTTTTAGTTTTATGGGCGTTGAAGCGCATTTAAATTGTAGAACATTTAAAATGTTTTAAATATAGCTTATTGAATCCGTTTTCCACAATTCCTTCGTGTCCCAATTATAGAGTTAAACAATACCGTATTTTTATCTTCTAAAAAAAGGCTGGTCACATTCATAATTTTAATGGAAAGAGAAGTAATTCACTTTGTACAAATTGACGTAGGCCAACAAAAATTGCGAACTATTTAGGTATCTTTAACATGGAATAGAATATAACATAGAATGTTTTAAAACATATTTAATGTAAAAAAAATAAAAAAATATATGTCTGAAACGATGGTTTTGTTATGTCCGAGATTAACGCCTGACTAATAAAATCAACTCTCCCAGTTAACCGTAATTCGTTGATAACAAAATGCGAAGGTTTAATTAACAGGCGCAAGAGCTCTGATATATGTTATTAAAATTGTAAACTACACTGAACGAGCACTACATAAACTATGTCTTCATATATACACAAAACCCGTAGGAGTAAAGGTATGGACAAACTTAAAAACAAACTATCTCAACATTTTTACACACTCATATAAATCCATTTACGGATATGTTATAGAAGTCCCAATTCTCTTGTTTGAAAAGCATAGAAAAATTTTGCACACTTCTCTCAGATTAATCAGTTTTTTTGTTTAGCTTTTGGTACAGCATAGATTTTATACGTGCCGGTAATTTGTCAATTATTGTGTGAATGCATGTATTCTGCTCCGCATGTAAAATGCTAATGCGATTTATCAGTTTCCAAGGCTCCAATAACGCATACCCCAGCCGCCGTTGTACGCTCTAATGCGGGCGTGTTAAGATATATAAATTAATAATGACAACAGTTCGACACAATAATTGCATCACGCGAGGTAAATGACTAATCCTTAAATAATCTGTAACGTGGGATTCCATCGTCTCGAATTTATTTGTTGTCTGTTGCCTTTAACATGTTGTTTTTTATTGCTTTTTTTAAACAGTAATAGTAAGACGTTATAAGAATCTTCTTGAAAATTTAATCGTTTCGACATTTGAATAAATTTATAATAGCTAAAGTTAACTTACTAAGTAATGATAATAATTATTATTAAGTACTATTAATTACACGATACAGTTTTTAGCTATGACAGTATCGCGCGATAAGATTGGTGTTAATAAGAAGCTTTCATAATTTTGCTATTCTGGTGAGCGAATTAAGCAGTGTCTGTCACAGCTCACTAAAATGGTGTTGTGGTATTTGTCATTTAACATCTGGTCATTCTTTCTTCTAGAAATAATTATAGTTGTCAGTAAAATACAATAAAAATATACCCCCACATATAAAATCTAATATATAAAATTCTTGTGTCACGGTGTTTGTAATTGAACTCCTCTGAAACGGCTCGACCGATTTTTGTGAAATTTTGTATGCATATCGGCCAGGGTAGAGAATCGGACAACATCTATTTTTCATCCCTATAAATGTTAAGGATCCACTCCAAACATTTTTATCTACCCTAAAATAATTTATATGGCAAAACGTTTGCCGGGACATGCCATTTGTGATAATGCCCAGAAGTGGGACATATAAAGGCAGTTACTTTACTTTACTTATTGTACCTACTCGTGTAGATATAAATAAACTGTTTATCAAAGAAGGGTATGTTAATGTCAATAGATGGCATTATCACACATTCTTTTTAAGAAATTTTTAAACGAAAATTCTTACCCTTGGGAAATAAAATAAAGAGATCATATTTTTATAGCATTTTGACTCTATTTATTCTACGTGACTGGTCATACATTCAGCAAATATGCGAGAGTGGAGTAGCGTATGTATATACATTCGTATAGAGGGGTTGGGTGTCGTGGCGTGCGCGGGGGCGGAGTCTCTAGTGGGGTGCCGGCTACCGTTACTGCACCGTTACTGGTAATAGGGATGTCTACTGACAATATCGATATATAGGTAATTATATACGATATGTCAAAAGCTTTCAATTTATTTTGCATTAAGAAGTCTATAGAAAAATATTTATTATTTGCTATTAGTCACTGTAGAGTTAAGTGTCTTACTCGTACTTGTCAAGTACGAGTAAGACACTTAACTCTACATTTAATTTAATTTATTTATTAACTTTTCACATAAAGGATTTGACAAAGATAGGTTATACTGTAGTAAGAAATAGTTTACAGTAAATATATGTACTTATTGTAAACCATTTCTTATGACAAATTACCCATAGAGCAATCCTCCTAAAAAAAAAATAGGGAAAGCCATAATGCAATTCCTATTAATTTTTAGAATATAAATGAGTACTGATACAATAAGGAATATAATCGTTATATTGCGACCAAAATGCATACAATTTAAAATATAGACTTTTCATCGTAATTTAATTGTCCAGTCATAATGAAGACTTTATAATAACAATTATAAAAGATAATTACACATGAATAAGGACCAATTAAGCGGGTTTTTTATTTATTTAATAGCTATTAATTTTATTAAAAAAATCAATAAAACGTGTAAACAGGTACTGCACATGGTAATTTTGCTTTCATACAAGCAAATTAATTGCCCGAATGACAGGTTACATTGTTTTATATTGATTATACATCGGATTATAATACCGCTGTTTAATTTGTGAATGGAGCAACAGGTTTTGATGGCAATTATTTTATCAATCATATATAACATTTGTAGTATATAAATTTTATCAATGAATATCAATAAAAAGCAAATTAGTTGTAATAATAGGGCGGAGGTAATTTGTAATTTTGGCGAGCGATAATTTTTTTTAATCTCGTTGATTAGATAAAATCACATTTTTAGGATTCTGTACCCAAAGGTTAAAACGGGACCCTATTACAAATACCACTGTCTCTCTATCTGTCACCAGGCTGTATCTCATGTACCGTGATTCACAGATGATGTATTTGTATAGCCGCTATAACAACAAATAATAAAAAACAGAATAAAAGAATATTTAAGTAGTGGGGCTCCCATACTAAATACCTTATTTATTGCTGTTTTTATTAATAATGGTACAGAACCCATCGTGTTCGAGTCCGACTCGCACTTGGCCGGTTTTTTTTACGAAGCAATTGAAATGTGGCCTAATGTTTATGTTGTAAAGGAGGTGGATGAAGCGTTTTTATCGACATCGATAAAAACAATTCATTTATCGACCACGTCCCTATTCTCCTCCTCCAATTTCACCCCACCTCGATTAGTCGGGTCGCAGGCCACGATATAACTTAACCCCGGCGTACCTAACTTGCTCCATTGGCATTCAATTCACTTCACTTGGCCCGTTTGAGAGTTTATATCTTGCATTATTTATCTAAACCCCGCTGAAAAGTTGCTTTAGTTAATCTGCTATTTATAAACGTGATTCTGCGTCGCTTAGCTTCTTACTCTTTGTAAGAAACTGTTTTAATACTATGTAGTTTATAACATGTGTAATACAGGGTGTATATGGTAAATATTTCAGCAGTTACCTAAAAAGTAAGGTTAGAGCGCATGTTCCACAAGGCTTGAGTTTATGTAAGCCTTGAGTTCTTCGCGCTTCTTTGTCGGTTTGTATTTTTGGTTGAAAGTACCTAATTCGCTTTCTCAATAAAATCTTTATGAAACTTATTTTTAAGGAATTCCTCTTCTACGTAACATACTTTTCCTAAAACCTGTGCCAACCTCCACGTTCGACTAATTCGAATCAATGGCGCCAACAGTATTTTTTTATTTTATAACTTTTTATGCAAAGAGTGTTAAATCAAACATGAGCGACTGTGTTTTCGAACCGACACAACTGAGAGCCTTCTTGGCCGTCTTACCTTCAGTAAGACAGCCTATTTCTACCTCTTTTTGGCAAATAATTTTTAAATTTGGTGTTTTGTATATCGGTGAGTGGCGGTGAGCACTTTATAAACAGTGAGTACATTGCTCGTTAGCCTCCTTCGGTGTAAAAATCCGTTGATGTTGGCCATGGAAACTAGTTTCCACCAAAAATGAAACGTATCTTCGAATACATATAGAAGTTGCTATTAAACTATGTACCCAGTTTCGGTCATATTTAGATAATAATGTATACAGAACAATCGGCTGACTGTATGTTGGCTCACGGAAACGTATTTACTTATTTTAGTTCACAGATGCCTTATCATTCAATTTCTTTATTCTCTATTACGAAATTACGGTAGATGTCTACATATGAAATATAACGTTGGGGTTATCTATGTTTCGAAACAACAACGAATTAAATTAAAGAGGTGGTATCAAAGAAACATTGACATGCACGGCCATTGCAGACTTACGACGTATTTATTGTTTTTTGTTTCTTTTTATTTCATTAGGACGATTTTGACGTAACGCAATCAATAGGGAAATAAGAAGCCGGTGCTTTAAGAGAGCTGAAGATCCTCCAAATCTTCTACTGATAAACGTAGCAAAACAGTCATCGAACCCATTCGGCAACTCATTGACCCGGACCTAACAACACTACCGACGTATTGTAACTTACAATTATATAGTGTAACTTACAATTATAGTTCGTCTTCCTCTATAAGCATGGCGAAACTAACACACACGGTTCTTACCACCAGTCCTAAACCCACCCCAACCCGGATAAAATAGTCGACGGCTAGATTTCCACGAGTTATGTACCGATGAAGCTTTATATATATTTTTTACTATAAGTACAAACATCAATCAACAATTTTGAAGCTATAATACAAATATAATAAAATAAAAAAAAGACAGAACGCTTCGAACAGGAATAAATAAAAAAGCTAGCGATATTGTTCAATGTTTTCTATGTGAGTTTTGGCGTATCTCCATTGAAAGTGAAATTTTCCAAATAAATTAATCAAATTTTTAATTTTACAAATTAGTTGTTTAGGTAGTACATTTCAATTATATATAACCTGTCATAGTAGTTTAATTGACATGATTTTATCATGCAATATGTTAAACCTATGTTTATATGTCGTTTAGTGAAATAATACTAATTGAGTTGAATCGAATTTAATGTTGGAGGATATTGTAGTTGTCTAAACGTCAGGTATAAATTTAAAATAGTATGTAATAAAATCAAGAAAAGTACTTTTATTTAATAAGGTAAAGAATACATAAGTATATACTTACTAGAATTATATAGAAACGATCTCATTCATTTTTATTAAGATAAGTAAAATATTATTAAGCTTCATTCATGTATAAAGTTTGCAAGCGTTTTTAAACGCTTACATACAATTCAGTGCCTCTATATTCCCCGAAGTATACGAAATGTTCCACTTTCATGAATGGTCGAGGAAAAAAGTGAAATGTTAATAAACATAGTATGTCTTAGACCGTATTGAAAAAGTACATAGGTACATACATGCAACTGTTATCTGTGGCATGACAAAAGCTACTGCACCACAGACAACAAAAAAACAAAAGTATGGAACAAAATGGCCGCCAGCAGCGCCATATGCTAGCGACAACCGCAATGAAATTATATTCCTGTACAAAACATTATTTTCCGTTCGTACATTCGTCGGTCACGCTACTCCGGGTGGTTTCCTTTGTTTTGTGGTATTTATTATCCATGGTGTATTTAACTGGAATATACTCATATTTCGGTATGATACGGGAATATACTGCCTAGATGGAATCGCGTGAAGGGTATTAAATATGATTAAAATATTCTGTTTCAACGAAAAACTGGCCAGTCTCTACAGGATTACCGTTTCAGCTTAATATCAATTAGGCTCTAGAAGCATTGGCGGGCTTAGCAGAAATTGTTATTTCTTTGAAACGAACCCATCGTTTCCAAGAAATAACAATATCTATTCCTATTTTTTTATTTATAAAAATATTGCCCTTACTTTAGGATAACATTATTCTGTGTGGTAAGGACATTTTACAACAAAAATTTCAGGCGGACAAACACCCAGATGCGAAACAACTATCTGTGGAACACACAATTGTCCCGTGTGGGAATCGGACGGAGGCGTCAATTACAAAACAATAATGCTGACCTGATGTTTGTCACCATTTTTAGACATTTTCGCTTCATTTACAGCACAAACCCATGAGCCCATTACTCAATTATCGGATGATACGAAAATGTATGATACTCCCACGTCATGCCCGTCTTCTGTAAAGTCGTGGTACATCTACGGATGAGCTGCTATTAAACAGCAGAAGTTATTGTATAGCTCCACCAAAGATGAAATTCCTTTAACCTACCATAGTAAAATGGCGTTACTCGATGTATTAAGTCTAAATCCTATTTATAATTTATTCTGTACAGTTTAAGGGTTAATTATTTTAAATAATATTGAGGAAAGAATTTTAATTTTATCACTGACTGTTATTTTCTAGTCAATGGAATTTTCTTAGCACGTTAATGATCAATGTTAATGAACAGATTCTTACCGACGTCCTTTTATTACTTCAATCAGATGCTATTAAAAGGCTATATAGAAAATATAAAATAATTATAAAAAATAATGATAGTCTAACAAACTCTAATGTCTAAAAATCCCGGCCTACTTGACCGAGGAAGAACGATAATTTTACCGAAGACCGGCGTACAGTAGGTGTTATTCTTTTGCGTTTTACCTAGCAAGTGAGGTAATTATGTTTGTGATATGTTAGTATACCCACCGTTTAGTTTACGCGCCGTGGGGATCGCTTAGTAGACTCCCACCATGAGAGTCTACTATATACAAAATAAAAACCCCTCTTAAAATAAAATGGCGTGATCAATTTGATTTCTTATCCACAAAATTATTAACTTATGCTAACTATTATTATAGATATGAGAGCAATAATAAATGCCGCCTTCGGCCACGACGTTGTCTCAAACCGTTTTATGCATTTACGCGATCGCAGATGGCAGAAAGACGTCCATTGCCTTTATCCGACTCGGCATTGAACTTTATAAAATAACTTGAAAAGGGACAATAACAATATTTCGCGGTTTTTGCACTAAATCCACTTGCCCGGCTTTTCCCACCGGCGTCGTTTCAAGCATTTCGTCACTACGATGCCGGGCGAAGGTATGCGGGGTACCTGTATAGGACGGCGGTATTCAACATATACAGCGGCGGCGAGTACAAAGAAATATCGAACATAAGCGGCATAGCACCAAGAAACTTGGTGCCCTCGCGTATACAACTATTCCGCCACTTCCACGGACTGGTTTATGCGGTAGGTGCCCATGTGCGACGGCGGACGGACGCGTACAAAAAACGCACGTAACTACATCGATTTTTTTACCTTAGAAATCGCACATGTGGAATAACGCACACTTAGACAAACCTCGCGAAAAATTTCTTGCTTTGAGCGATTTATTATCTTTTCCACGTTAAAATTCGAAATATCTAAAAATATCAATCACGGCTATTCCAACGACTCAATTTGTGAATGGCTCAGAGAACCTATAAATAATTAATTAAATAGTTACTAATATTAATGCTGACCGATAGCGCATGACGCGGTTCTTTGCGTTTAAAAAAAACGGTAGCTCGTACAAAACTGCATGCCGAGGCCGGACACTGAATGATGTGGAGACGCGTTCCTTTTTTGAAATTTTCTTGCTTTTTTTCGAGTAACGTACGCAAGGGCTGCTGGTTTTCCTCCATTAAAAAGTTTACGCAGTTAGTCGCCTAGGTCCGGCCATTGTATATTTTTTTTTCACAATTGACGTCGACAAAATGCTTTAAAGGCAGAAAGAAATTTTTAAGCGAAAGTTTTTACAGATTTTATTTTATTTTATATCAAGTTCATCGTGGTACAGAAGCATTGTAAAATTGAGTTTAAAAATGTTGAAGTTTCAATTTAACCATGTATTTGACAATAAAATAGAATTTTAAGTACATACTGATTTTTGTGCCTGAATAACGTACGGCGTACCGACTATTATTAAAACTTAAAACTGCTATAAAATAAAACTGCCAAATAATAAGTAGGTTGCAAATGTTATCCATACACGTTTCTCCTTCACACAACGCGTATCTATACCGTACTCGAGTATAGGATATCTAGTCTACTATAATCTCATAATTAGTGATGCATATATGCGTGTTGCATTTTAACATATCGATGAAATGAGTCGAGGTGACGGTACGTTGTGACAAGCGAACTGCGATAATGGCGTTTCAAGTGCAACATTAACAACAGGTATCGAGTTAAATGTTCGATTTTGAAAAACAAAAAAATTGTTGGACACGAAGACACAGCTGGCAGTAAAACATACAGCGGACATAAATAAGCAAGTGATTATATATACTAAAATTAACATTATTATCGATTTTATAACGCTTAAATATATTTTTTGTTTGCAATTAAATATTAACGTCTTGTAAAGTTTAATTGTACCCGTAGCAACATAATACCGGGGCATGAATGAAGTTAATTAATGCAAATTGCAACGAACGGGAGGGAGAAAAAAACCGCACATAAATAAAATTATCGTGAAACCAATATCGGACCGTTCTATATTTAAATGGACTAATTAAGATAGCATCATAACGAAAAGCGTGGTGGACGCGTCGAGCCTGCCGAAAGCCATATTCCCGATCAACAGGTGTACGGGAAAATGTAGATATTTTATCGGCCATCAATCTCCACAGCTGCCAGTAGTCGTTTGGCACAAATACGTCAACTGGCCATCGCGACCGCGCGGCCACGTTGGTTACGTGGAACCATCGGATTTGTCGTTTTGAATTAAGAAGAAAAAATAGCAGTGAGTCTGTGGTTAAATTGCGCGCGCTTTTTTTTTGTTTATACTCTGTGTTACATGTGAAATGTTTTCAATGTTGTTTTTCAATTTATTCAACGTCAACCTTACGAGAAATTGGATTGATTGCGCGAAACTGACCTTCTAGAGAAGAATCTCTTTCATTTTAATATTTATTATATTGAAACAGACGTTCTTAAATTATAGAAAATGATTAGGGGAATATATTCTTATCTTTCTTTATCTCCCTTCTATGTTAAGATAATGGAGCTATTAAAGAACCAAAAGGAGTAGATCGATTCCAACGTAAGTATGACAAATTGTCAATAGCTTTATGGTGAAACGTTATACAATGTTCGGTTTTTTCATAAGCACGTCACTGACTGGCCACGTAACGGAGTTACTTTGTAATGAATTATGGACATGTCGTATTATGGTTCACACACGCGAAATCGCTACTAAAGTAACTTTTTCTCATAACATACCCTACGTTCAGTTTAGTTAGGGAATCGATGCGGCGCGTGTTGGCGGCGTTAGTAAAGATCAGCGGTTACGCAGTTTCGCCAGCCGAAAATGTGAAATCCTTTCCAAGCTAACCACCGCTCCATTTATTCATTAGACTCTTACTTCACGTCGATTTTCTGTGAATTCGTGGCATTTCCCCAGACGAGCCCGCACATTCGTGCAAATATATGGACTCCTGATATTTTCTGGATCAAACGCAGGAGTCTTTTCAAATGGTCAGAAATCAGTTCCTCGCGTGTAAGTAACACGCTAAAAATTTTAATTGTTTTTTTAACATTCAACTTTTCTTCTGTACCGCGACGTTATATAATTATGTATACAAGCATATGTGTGGGTTTGCGTGTGACTCTTACAACCACGTTCACATCAAAGGTGTGAACGTGGTTTTATACTCGGGAGAAATTTAAAGCGATCCCAGTAACAAATTCCGTAACACCGGTGCAAGTTGAAACCAAACCGAAAAGAGGAGGATTAAGCGTCGTTCAGAATCCGTTCCCTCGCCGCTTCCTCAAATCGGCAACGGATCGCGTCCAAACGTTGCACCGGCAAAAAGTCGAGCGACGTCGACGTTTTTACAAGTGTCGGTGAAAGCTCGCGCAGCGCCCGCGAAATGTCTTTATCTTTGCCGACACAGTTTTATTGCGGCCGACGCGCGGGCACGCGGCGTTCTTGCCGACGGCGGGGCGAGCACGCGGACCTTTATCGATATTTGAAAGCGTCGATTCGGGAAGCCGCCAAATCGGCTGGGTGCGAGTTAACAAGCATCGCTGCCCCGTCGGGGCTTCGAGAACGTTCCATCGTGCGTCGGTCGCGGCTAACGAAAGAGCGACGCGAAACTGGCACGCAATTAGTGTACGCGCGGTATAGGTTGTCGGGCAAACGCAGGGCCAGATTTAGAGGTCTGGAGGCCTCGGGGCAACAAAGGAGTGGAGGCTCCTTGGCCCCAAATTATTTTCCAAATAAAATGAACAATTATTTTCTGTCGAGTTTTCCAATATATAAATTATTGTGAAACCAAGTATAAATATAAAAGGGAAAAGTTGTTTAGTAGTGTTTACTAGTCTGAATTTGATTTTTTGTTTTCCGATGTCTCTATGGTGGGGGCCGCTCTTTTGTGTTACCCTCCCCTAAATCCGGCCCTGGGCAAACGGATAATGTCGCTCGCGATTTTTATCGGTGTCCGTATAGGCCCTTGTCTGTCATCACCTGCCGCCCGCAATTAGGCGAACAGATTCACAAACGACGTAAGACAGTTTCTTGTACGTAAATCTGGGACACATACACAGCTAACGACGCGCATATATCTGCGCGTAAGACGGATACAGCAAGCAGTGCACGGGCGTACGGAAGAAGTTGGCAATTAAAATTTTTACACGTCAATTATAATGGGCCTCGATTATACTGCATTAATCCATTGTCCGCGGCGCACCAAGCGACCGTCGATAGGTGCGTTCGCGCCGTACTCGGAACGCGTCCCGGTATACGCGCGCTTTTTACTCCAATCCCGCGTTGACACGCTCCTTCTGCCGAAAGCAAGGCCGCCATGAATTATTCAGGGGGCGCGGTGGCCCTCTACAGCGCTTCTTGCCCTCCACCCGTTACATGCTTTATCACTTGATGCCCTGGGTTCGCCATGTCTCCATTTGCGTGAGGACTCCCTCGCTATATGAAGCAGATTTTATGTATTCATTATTTGTTTGATGAGTGCCGTCAGCACGGAGCGCTGTTGTCCCGTTGTTACGACAGAAAACGGTGTTGAACTAATAGATGTCAAATCTGTTACAAGACTTGAGGTAAAATGAGTAGTATCTTAGGTTGCGCCTGTAATGATGTTCGTAGGAAAATTGTTTTTATCACAACGTGAAAGTAGAAATGTTCGTGTAACTACAGCACGATATAAAGTAGATAAAAATGTCTTATTACGTATAAGGACGTAGAGTCAATTCATTTGAAATATGAAGAAACAGATAACTTGACTCTATAGCATAGATAAGTCTTGAATCGAAAATCCGTTCCAGATGATTTCTAAAATAGTGTCACTATTTTGATTTTCATACATTTGTCATGCATTTTCTTATGAGGCGCCGTGTTTTCAATTATAAATGGTAATTACTTTAAAACCTTCTGTATTTCGATGAGGGCAAAAAGTTTTATGAACGATTCGCGTCGAATATATTAAGTCCATACTAAATTTGGCGCTATCCAACTCAGTTGATTTTCTTTATCTCAAAAACAACATAGTACACGATCATCACAATGTTTATACATGTTTTCATTCCTGTTCCTATTTTAAAATTCGAAACATTGTCTTTTTTATTTACATATGGGCTGATTTACCATGTGCTTGGCCATTAAGGAAACCTGATTGTACAAGAAATATAAATTACTAGCTGATACCCGCGACTTCGTCTGCGTAGCTAATTATATTAACAACACCGCGGGCCCCTTTCTCCACGGCAAGAAAACACAAATAAATGAACACGCAGTGCTTATAAAAATTATTGTTTCTTAAAACTTTATCTGGTTTCAAATCGCGTTGCCAGCCCCAATGAAATAGATAATTTTTAGGTCGGACTTACCACATGCTTAACGGTGACGTAAAACATCGAGAGTAAACCTGCATATTTTCGAAATAATAACAAAAAAAGAATATTTCGAAGATATGTGAAGTCCGCTAATCCGAAGTGTGGCCGCGTGGTTGACTTTGCCCTGATACCCTCTGCAAGGAGGCCTTTGCTCAGCAATGAGACATGCAAAGGGTTGTACATATACTTTACCTTACATATATGTTTCGAAGTTAAGCGAAGTCTACTAATCCGCACTATATCCCCTCTGTAGAGAAATGTTCAGCAGTGGGACTTATAAGTATAGGGTGCTATTCTACGTACTAAAATATTCTTTAGTTATAATGTTTAATCCTTAGTTAAAAACAACATACAAAAAGAGGGATATTCATGTTATTGAGTTTCTGCCTATGAGCCTGCAAATAAAGGGCATGTGGTTTAATTTAGTTACAACTTGTTGGTTGCCCCGTCAACACCCCTGCGAGTAGGGCTGACAAAATCTCAGCTAATGCCCCAATTACAATTAGGGCGCATTATGTTTGTGACTTCCCTATTATTAGCGCGCTACGAGGGTTGTCTTTTAATCTCATGTGTATTGTTAAAACATGAATTTATATTAACAATTTGTTATTTGTTTAATTTGTAATAAAGTCTGATTGACTTAGGGTAACGTTTCCAACCTTTTTGTATTTAATGGACATTGAATAAACATTTGGAATTATTTTAATTTTGTGAAACATTCATTAATTGTATTAGTTTCAAATAATTATATTTCAAAGTTATGTGAAGTATGCCTATCGGCAGTGGAGTCGCGTGGTAGAATATGCCCTAATACCCTATGTACGGAGGAAGCCTTTGTCCAGCAGTGGGATATGTATTCTCTTCGGTTAAAATCAATAAGGATGAAATAATTAACAAAACCTTCATTACCATATAAATAGAAGATAAGAATAGTTAAATGATAACCCAAACACAGTGAAACAGTGAAGACTTTTATTTCATTTTTAAAACATTGCCCTTACTTTATTCTTACAACATTGTCCAGTGTTGTAAGAACGTTTTACAAACATAAATTTCACGTGGACATACAACTAGATTATTGAAGACCCAGAGAACTGTTTGCGTGACCCACACACAAATAGTCGTTCCCTGAGGGGATCGAACCCACGACCCCCGATGCCGAAGCCAATACCTTGGCAACTGCGCCACGGAGTCATCAAAACGGCGTGCATTGCGTGGCCCTATCACAGTTAAGCTTCGAAGAAAAATAGCAATGTATTCAAAAATCAAAACAACATGATTGTGTAGTCTTAACATTGTTTGACGCACACTCCGCGTAGCCAATTTAACAGTGGATTATCTTCTAAAATATCGCTCTATTACTGAATTTATGTCATAAATTGGACCGTGCCCCTGCGATCGAGGCAAGCAGTCGTTAACCCGAGGCGAGCGTCTCATTGCAAAATAATGAGCTGAAATATTACGCCTCCCGTTCCAAGCCCGACCAAGTATCCTTTCGCACATTGTTAATTCAAATCGATGTCCGCGTACTGAAATTTACGAAATCGAGTCAACAATACAAGCTATAGTGTAAGGGATCTTTTAAATGTGTCCATATTTTAATGGCAAAGTACAAATAAATATTACAAGAAATAAAAATGTCTAATATCATCAATCATTTATGTAGGACAAATTCGAGATTAAAATTTTGCTAAGTACAACATACTTATACTACGTGGGAATGATATAGGTAATAACAACTTGGTGAAGATAGTGTTTTGATGAATTAAAGAGAATAATAAAATTGTTTTATGAAATTACTTTACAGATTTTATTGCGTTTAATTAAAATCGAATTTCAAATGTTTAAAATACTTCAGCGTCTATTTTCATTATGTTACTTCATTTGGTGATTCTGGCTACCGTCATCTTCTCCATTATTTATTTTGGTTAAGTCTCTGCATACATAGGTTACATTAAAAATTGAAAGAATCGGTGACAATTGGTGTTGCAAGTGTTCATGGGAGGCGGTGAGGTTATCATCATATGACCCGCTAGATCGTTTGCCTCCTTTCCCATAAATATATTTATTTAGCAAATAGGTGAGATTTGAAGAGGCAAGAGGAATACGGTCTAGAGTCCAGTAATGCCAAACACATTCCGTTATAGCAAGGCCGTTAAAGAGGTCGACTTAATAGAAATTTTCTGTGAGAAACTTGACGCATTGAAATTACCGCAATATCCTAGTGCACCAATTAGCAAATATGTATTCAAGACCCGCCAAAGTACATAGCAAGCGTTACAACATTATCAAAACTCGTTTCTGGATTAGATTTAAGGCCGACGCCCTCCGGAGCAATCATGTAACCCGAGATTAGCGAAATAATTCGCCAACGTCGCATTTTCGCGAATTAAGTTTCGTGGCGGAATCTCGCTGAATTTCCACATATTACGTTTGAAGTAGGAGACGGATCCCAATATGGAGGGATTAGAAGCTGCACTGTAACACGCGGATGGCGTGTGAGAAATTCGCGTCGCTTCTCCGACAGCGGCCGCGATGTAATTTTTTCCCGCGTATTTTTTTTTCCTCGCTCCTCCCCGTGGCATTGTTTCGATGTGGCACGCAACTAAGCAATTGCGGTTTTTCTCGACAGCAGGAAGCGGACCGCCGTTATTATTTTCGAATTAGTCACGACGATAATCCGAACGTTTTCGGCGGCGGACGCGCACTTTCGGCGGTGCCGTGAGAATGGTAAGAGTCCCCGTCGTCACGACAGCCCTGTCGCGCATTTCGAGATTGTCTCCCCGCAACAATGGTGAGACTCTCGAAATGACGGCTGGCTTTTTGTCCCCAACCGTTCCGTTCTCATTGTTAGCCAAGTATTTACTATATCCATTGTTGGATGATAGAATCATCAATGATTCACCCACCTATGTTTCTAGATGCGGAATCCAACTGAGGTTGCAGACTTGCTTTATTGCAATTGTTGCTTGCAATTGTTTCATCAAAACGATTCAGTTAATTCAATTACAAACAAATTGGAGTGCGTTGAGAAATCAAACACATATTGAACATACGAAAAGTAAAATTTACGGTACGCCATGAAAGGCGAACATTCCATAACATTGCCAATACATGGTTAAGCTTAAAATCGACAGACATCGGTAAAACGTGAGAAAATGCCACGCTTAATATTATGGTGTCCGTTGGAAATCCTTGAAAAGTCAACTTATGCGTTTCGCGTCGGACCGTAGCGTGAACCGTGAGACGGCGTTCTTGCCTCGTATTTTCCTACAAATCATTCGAACGGACAGCGTACAATGCCGCGATAACTGGACCTAAGTTATCGGCCAGCCATGCATCCACTTCGGGCCGTGAAACGCCAGCTGCTAGGACTTCTTCAATGAAACGGCAATGAACAACCCCTACTTTAACTAGTCGATCGCTGTCAAATAAGGGAAAGTTTATAAATTTATTGCTGACTGGGTCTTGATAGTCAGATACATTTCGTGTTTATGGTCTGTCTTGGTCCATCAATGATCATTATAAAGTCAAGACTAGGAGTTTACATCGATTAGGTACAACGGAACACGTGGGACGAGAAGCCTTCAATAGTGTTGCTCGTCTATTGTTTCGAAAAAGTTGTGTGGAATATTGTTATTTCTATTAAAATTTAAGAAACAATTGTGACTAAATATTCGTTTTCAATTGTTCTTAATTCACTTTTAGTTATACCTCAATTCCCCAATAAGCTTACGGCAGTAGAGATGCATGTTTGAAGGACATGCTGAGGACACCATCTTAGGATGATGTTTTTTTAAACATGAAAGTCCAACTTACTATATCTGGCCTTTAAATGTTTGTTTCAATAGTTTTATATCCATATTCAGTCAAAGTTTCATAATTAAAATTTTAAATTAATTAATGTATAAAAAAGGTAATTCGTTAAACTCTCCTAAACAAGTCTTTGGGAGCATGGTGTATTAAGGAAAACTGAACTAAAAATTAACTGAGTAAAAACCCAGCTTATGGGCGTTTCCATAAAATATTTTTTTACAGTTAAATTAACAGGTTATTCAAAATTGGAACCTAAAAATATTTATTCAGAGGTCAATATGGTATAGAGGTCATTAGAATATCGACGTCGTTCAAAGGAACCCTAACTAAAATGTGACGTACATTCTCCTCGAAGGTCCAACGCTGTGCTGGTATTGATTATACGATAGGCGATGAATCATGCGCAAGGCCACGGAAAATGATTGTATCTCGCTTGCTTTATTATGCTGACCTGGTACTTGTTGGCTGAAGTAAACCAAATGGGATTGACTTTAAACCGTTCGTCGGCAATAAAGTTGATTACCAGTTTCAAAGTAAGCTAATCTTATACTGGTATGGTAATAATTGTGATAACATTTTCAGTAAAACCTTTGTGAATCTAATGCCCGTTTTCACCATCGAATCCCAACTTTGAGGGACACCACCACCGCTTAAGTGTCACATTTAAGACTTTAGGTGACACTTAAGCCGGTGGTAAAAACAAAACTAGCACTTAAATTTTTTAGGTGTCCCTTAAAGTTAAGGATCGATGGTGAAAACGGGCATAAGACATGCATGTCAGACATAGTAAGTCAAAAGCCAAAATTAAATAGCGAAAAACTCGAAGGAAAATGTAATTATAAGAAGACTATGGGAAATTATGACACGGATCACCCAACCACGCATAGAACGTTCGACTCATACCCACCAGGTATAGTCTGCCAATATATTTCATTTTACTTTTACAGTTAGTATCAATTTAAATCTCATAAACCTGAGTAGGTAGCTTAGGATCGACGGTTGAGGAGACCTAAGTTCAGTTACAATATGCTGAAATGATGATGATGAACTGTGGCCAGATATAGCTCAGGCATCAAGCGTTCTCGTGTTTCGCAAACTTGACAGTTCAAGCGTGTCACTGTACACCGGGACCAATCGTCAGGTAATGATTTCTGTGAGGAGTAATAAAACCTCAGTATTCCAAGCGCCCCAGATAGCACCAGGGCTGGCGATGTCAAACCCACTAGGCCTAGCAGTGCATCCACTTCGGGCCGTGAAGCTGCTAGAACTTCTTCAATGAAACGGCAATGAACAACCCCTACTTTAACTAGTATGCGACGCAAATATATTCGGTTTGTGTTCCATCTTCGTAAAAACTCGTCCCAAATGTCTTTTAGATAAAACCGCGGCGTAAACAGACCCGTTCTCAGGTGGAACGATATTTTGCGCGAACGCGTTGGATTTTTGTAATGCGAGGAATTCTACCGTTCCTCTCGTTAGCGCCGCGACGTTCGAAAGCCCACTAAATGTATACCCAACGAGTATCCTTGCTTTTGAAATATATTGTAAATGAAGAAAGGAATCTACAAACATAGATGGAACCAAAAAAGATAATAATATAAACTACGAAACTACCCCAAAGATTATAAGTAAAACGCTGAGTTTATATTTTGTATTTTTAATGGCGTTAAACTATATAACCGTTTTGAAAAACAGTACAGGGTATCAGGACATATCAGGAGGTCTTTGCCCTGCAGTGGGACATTTATAGGCAGTTAATTTTTTTTTTTTTTCATTTCTATAAATTGCAACAATACACCGTGATCACTTCAAACCACAAACTAGTTAAATATCATAATTAGTTCATCCGCATGTCGTTTATTTGAAACGAAAATTGAAAGGAATGGACGGTAATTATTAAAAACTGACTAAAATCACATAGGGAGTTTTTGTCTTCAGCTCAAAGCCGTGGGCTTAGTTGAGAGCCTTCAATTTCTTGGTTAACGGTCGCTTCAACTGAAATACACTTTCTTTTTATAGGTGCGTAAGGTACATAATCGCTTGGCGGCAAGTGTCACTGTAATTTAAGGTATGGTATTTACTTGCGGTATTTTTGCCTCACGTAGCTTCGCTCCGACTCAAGATCTGTCATTATTCTGATAACACTATGTCTACGTGCCAGTGAAACGTCCAGCTTAAGAATAGGGATGCGGCGGGCAGCGGTGTTGCGGTTATCGATAATCGGCTGTCGATTTTAGTTTTGCTCTGTTATCGATAGAGAGAGCGGAACGTATGACACAGTTTTGCATGTCGTAGTGGCTCCAAAACCTGCCCGTAAAAGTAATCATTGACAGAATATGAACCCAAACATATGAAAACATTTAGAGTGATCAGTATTGACTGTTTTTAATTCATACATTCACCATCTGCCATTAGACCATGAAAGTTCATACAAGCAAGAGGTACGAATAACATTATGTCATGTAAAATAATAACTAACATTCTTGTCAATGCTGAAGAAGATTCCCTGATTTTATCCGTTCATAGGATATCAAATGTCTGGACTGTGTTAATAGAAACTTACTCTAATATTTCAAAGATTCCTCAGCTACCATCAGAACATTCAATTAAATTAGATTTTCGTCATGGTCTTTGCTTGTGACTGGATAAGAAAAGGGTAGAAAAAGATAGGAAAATATTTATTTTAAAATTCCTCCAGATTTTATCGCGTTTCTAACACTACAGTGTCGTTGGTTACGGAATAAGTAGTTATTTTTTAATTGGAAGGAAATTAAATGTGATAAGACCAGTAAAATAATTTTATCTAAGAAAAAGATAAGTAACAATAAAGCATTAAAAACTCGACAAGGAGGACAACATGTCTCCATCTCTACACAGTGCATACCGTAGAGCTAAAGATATACAAGCGATGTTTGTAAACATATAATTACTTGGTAGGTCGATGCATATCAGCTGCCCGTTAGTGTACAAACGCGCACACATGCACATGTCGGTGCACACGCGAAGGTGCCCCGACACGCGCATGTGTGCTGTTGGCTCGTGTGCTCACATGCGCATGTGCGCGTTCGAAACTAGTTTCGCGGGAATATGAGTGATTGTAACGCGCTTCAATTTCGCGACCACACAGCGCACGATGTTGATTCAATTAATTTATTTATAGTTTTTAATTATTAACGATGAGCCTTTTGACGATTCGGATGGCTTATTATACGCTCCCCTTGCAGGTATTGGTTTCCGTTAATGTCCCACCGAGTTTCTGGTGTTAGCAGTTAAAATGTGTAAACTGGCCAGTGTCATAGCGTTTTTAGTGGACTTGTTGAATGCCCGCCTGTTATTGTCCTACGCAAATGCGAGATGATGGCGCATATATAGTAAAAAATGGGACTGAACGTCATAATGGTCCGATCTTATAAACTATTTTCACTGATAAATTTTACGTTATGGTACGCAGTGGATTCCTCCGATTTTAACAGGGCAATCGACTCTACGACGAGGCCTATTCAAATGAAATCTAAGTATTAGTTAGTCTACTCATCATCACTGTGCCAACTCTTTAGATGGAAGGCACTACTACGTCGCTGGCTCAGCAACCCAAAGAGGATTTTGGCCTCCGACACTAATCTCTTGATATTAATTGATGTATATGATATATTGACATAGCGTATAGATAGGATCTCTTCCGCAGCCAAATCAAACTATTAATAAAATATAAGAAGTAGTGTCCTGAGTGAGAAAGCCGTCATAGATAAGTATCCTGGCGCCGACCCAGGGGTTTAACTCAATATACTCCAGCAACCTGATATGATATGAAATTATTTATTGCAATTTTAAGGGATGATTTATCACGTGTTAATCAATGAATGAAAAGCTATTTTGAACATATTATGTAAAGTCTGCCAATCCGAGGCGAGATCGAGTGGACTATGTCCCCCCAGTACAGAGGAGGCCTTTGCCCAGCAGTGGGTCATAAAGACGGTTATGTCCATGGGCGGCTGTGATCACTTGTCATCAGGTGACCCGGATGCTCGTTTGCCTCCTTTTCACATAAAAAAATTTTACTTTGCTGTGTGAAAATAGTAACGAGTTGCTGGGGGGTCTGTTTAAACTGGCAGTTACTGGGATAATTGCAGTACGAAATACGTTAAGACCCGTCAGTGTGTAAGCTGCTGTAGAAACTGTTAAAAAAAAAGACATTTTATTGAGACGGCTACATAATACACTATAGATATCCGAACTTTACAGGTTCTCGAGAAGGTATATTCATCTCATACGACTTTACTATATTTACCTTTACTGTAGACATTACCTTATACCCTTTACTGTTAAACATAAAATAGATCAAAGTTTAAAATCATTCATCTACACAGAGCTACATTGATTTTAGTATTATCAGAAGAATTGTGTGATGGATTTCCAAGATAGATGAGACAGATTTCATCAACAGATTTCAGAATGCTGCAGCTTATACAGCGTGTCGTTACCATCGCGACAATAAATGAACACACGTCTAACGCTACTTGCCAAAAATCATAAAAAATATTAACGTTAAACAAAATCCATAATTAAAAAAAATATTTTTCAAACAAAGTAATTAAGTAAAAAAGAAACAAAATTTGTAACATCCTATACAACTCGCGCCACAGCGTCGTATTACAAGCCTCTCCTTCTAACAGTATGTTTTGTCTCTTTTAAATTCATTCAACCCATTCATATGCTCTGTGACCTTTACAAATGAACTTTACGTTACGCTTTTATAGGTAAGGGTGTTCTAAAATTCTTTGTTTTGGAAAATTTAATAACTCTGTAAATATTGATGTTTAAACAATTTAAATGTTTAATACAACTTTAAAAAGTTATCCCGTGTTAATTTATTGTCGCGATGATAACAACACGCTGTATATACACAGATCTTTTACGTTTATTACAAAGTTAAATTTGGAGTCAATGAAAATGGTGAAACTAAGAGTAATTTGGACCGGGTAAGGTATGTTAAAGTAGACCTTACTCTCCTCTATAATCAAAACCAAAACGCGCAAAACAATACGTTCGACCTAAGACGTTTTTCTGTACCATGAAAATGATGGAGGACAATTATGACCTTGTCCGCAAAAAGTACGGCGTTAATTGCTCGCGGTAGCCCGTAAACACTTGTTACTCGGAACGGGGGTAAAAAAATCTATGATTTTATTGTGCACCGCGCTCGTAAATTTCGCCGTAACGCCGTTGATAACGGGGGTCACAGATAGAAGTGAATCGGACTCGCACACGAAGGGTTCCGTACCATTATCTATAAAAACGGCAAGAAAATCATGTCTATCGTTATAGTAAGACAGTTGAAAATTTCAACTGTCTTACTATAACGGTTCATGAGATACAGTGGTGAGTGACGGACAGACAGACAGCGGCGTCTTAGTAATTGGGTCTTGTTTTACCCTTTGGGTACGCAACCCTGAAAACAATTGACGAGTCCGTCTAAACATTTAATAGTCTAATTGGGACAGATTGTTTTGTTGCAGATTCTAATCGACATTTAAGCCTAATTGCTCCCGTGTCAGCGTTAAATGCGTTCAAAAACGAAAATTTTGCATAGTAAACGAGCCGTGTAACGCTAGAGCGATGACCTTGTTGAATGAATGAATGAATAGATTTGTTGTTTATTAAAATCGTATTAAAGCCGATGTCGTGTTTATTTTCGCGGTCGATTGGTATCGTGGGCTATTGAGCAGTATATTATTGTTTACGCGCCTTTTTATCTTAATGGACGATTATGAATTTAAACTGATTCTTGTCGCATTCGCGGTGCAAAGTGGGTGCAAGTGTTTAATTTTGCCTTCTCACGCATTGGTGGTATGTGTAATTGTACAAAAACTGTAAACAGATTCCATACTTAGTGGCCGTTCGGTTAAACCGTTATAAAGCTCGTCGTGAGTTTAGCGAAGTTTTGTGCAAGCTTTTAATTTCTCACTGCGTGCAGCATACAAATATATACTGACGTATACTACGCGTGCGACATGCGCTTTAACACATTTTTACATACATATATTTATGATTTTTCTGTGAGCGTGTGCGTCACTGAACTCCTCCTAAATGGCTTGAAAGATTTTAATGAAATTTTTTGTGTGTCTTCAAGTAAATTCGAGAATGGTTTAGATTCCGAATTCTCTCCATTACAATTTTTTTTAATATTTTTTTTATTTAAAGGTTGATATCGGATTTAAGATATGTTTACAGGGCGACTGTCGGGCCCCTATACAATTGTGTGTCAGTGTGAGTTTTATAACAAACACGTTACATACTCTTATTTAATCGACAAATGGATAAGAAAATAAATATGTATTTAAATAAATATGTATATTTTATGTTTGTAATATTTGTACGGTATATGCAGATTGAGAATGTAATATTCAATTATTATAACTTGGAAAACCGCATTAAGGTTATAAATTGACTGACTCCGCTTTGCAATCCGTTTATTGGGCAATAAAACCGTGAATAAATTTAAATAAAGTCGGCTCACTACGGCGCGCGACATCGTTCAGTTCAATATAGAGAGAGCAGAGTAATTTTTACTTTATAATTTTATGTTTACTATAAGAAATTTGCTATTGTTTTACATGTTTCGGAAATATATCTAAAAACCGCCGGGGATATAAATAATGTAATCTGTAGAAATAAATCGTCGAAAATAGTCCTTATGAAAACTGACAATAGTCAAACAACGCGAATTGTTCCGTAGTCTACACTAAATTGTTAAGTCAAACACAAACAAAAGCCTCTTATTTTAACATAACAGGATGGACGGGGCTGTATACCATGCATAGCATTATATACCGTTTCAGCATTATTTCGGTACTTCATTCGCGAAGTTCAGTAATACACACTTAGTAAAAAACTCCGCTTGAAAAAAACAGTTTTTTTTTTCGGAGCGCGACTGACAAATGACAATGCCCATCGGCCATACAAAAATAGACTTGTGGCCTTCTCCACAAAATAAATCCGAAAAACGTTAGCTCGTTCTAACGATGCGATTCGAACCATGGACTGCTAATGTCTACTGCCGCTGCGCCACCACCGTCTCCGGTTTTATTGCCGCCATAATTATCCGAGTGCGCGCAATGCCGTTCGGCCGTAATTAAGGACGCGACGCGAGTCCGATCAAGTTCGTATCGGTTGGACACTTTTTCGTTAACCGATATCGGGGTTACCGGTCTTTATCGGATCGTTGCGGCCGGACCGATTTATCGGAGAGTGAAACGGAAACGCACGAAACCGTTCGACGTTTTGTTTATGTATCAATGTTTTTTTTTTATTTGTTTTTTTTTAAGGTACCTAAAGGCAAACGCTTCCTGCATACTGCATCTTGATAGGAATAGCTGTGAATGTTCGCATTAATTTAGATAGTTTGTGAAGCGGAAACAAGAACAAACTTTTAAATTAATTGTAACTGTTTCTAAATGTATATTGCAAACTATTAAGTCTGAAGTCAACTAGCCCTAAGTATCTTTCAACTTCATTATTTACGCGTTGCAACTTCACTGCGCAATTATTTAATTTAACATATAATAAATAACACTGACACGTTATTCTTGTCTACAAGTGATAGAAATTAGTCCAAATAAGTGAACTATCCATTACCTAATATAGTATAGTATACCTAATATAGTATAGTAGTATTTGACAATGTTCTCGGTGACACAGTTGATAAGCTATTTGCTTCAGCGCCCGGGATCATGGGTTCGATTTGCACATTGGGTAAGTGTTTGTGAACTACTGATAATTGTTCGGGATCTGGGTGCTTATTCCTAAGGAGGGTTGACGTGAGGCAGGCGGAGAATCGTAAAGCCCTAGCCAATGCACTGAGATCGTGATTCACGTGTTGTTCCATACACACCTAGGTGGGATAAGGGCGCGAGAGAGAAGGTCAGCGTTTTGTGTTTTCGTAACAGAAAAACAAAAGTTAAACACCGGCTAGATAACATTCCTGAAGAAAAAAGTCTTAACAAACAATGACAGCAAGGACTTCGAGCAGGTGTGAGGCATGATCTTACAACACGAATTATAAATAATCAACGATACGAGTATTTATGT